TCCTTTCCTTCATTTATATGGTAGTCTAAAAATTTTTCTTTTTTTTTTTTTTTTTACTCCTTGGTGTATTTTTTGATTTATTGGTTACATATTGTACAAGCATATCGCAATCTGCAGTTGTGTTTTTGCCTTTGTGAATATCTAGTCTCCTCATTCTTTAAATTTTCTGCAGTTGTGTTTTTGCCTTTGTGAATATCTAGTCTCCTCATTCTTTAAATATTCCTCAATAATAATTTTAATTTATATTCTATTGCTGTTCTTACAGTTTGTCATTTTGTTTTGAATTTCATTTCGACCTCATTAATGTTTCCGTCTGTTATTTAGTTATTTGCTATTTTCCTCTTCTTAGTAACCATGTTTTCTCGACATCTACATCTGGTGAATATTATCTTTGTTCTCTCCTTATAGTTCACACACAAATACGCGCTCAAATACAATATATGTACATAAATACATAGTACATATTGAATGTTTGCATGGTATATATGAAAGTAAGAAGGTATGTATCTAAGAGTGTATTTATATACATATATCTATTCAATATGTATGTTATTTAGTATTTGTACCAATAGCATAAGGTGTCTATAATAGATTTGTATGTTATTGGAATATGATGAGAAGGTAAATATTTTTTGGAGAGTCTTATCACACTTTGAAAGTACTGAATAAATGCCTGTGCTGCGCAGTATACGACGGCCTCATAAGTAATTGGTTAATACTACATTCGTGGGAGGTTGGTGGGAATTCTTACCGTTATTTTACGCTGTCTTGAAGGGACGCCTGTCTCGAGAAAGGCAAACTCGCATGCTGAGAAAGGAAAAGATGCATGTTTATTCATCTGCGTGTTCTTTATGCGCCTGGTTTATTGGTTATGGCTTATGTAGGCTCTGCGTTATCCCTCTGTTTGAAAGATTTAAGTGAATAATACGATTTGGAAAACATTTCTTTCTAAGTTAGAATTTATTTGTTTTTTCAGAGACAGATCTTCAGAATATATTTTTTCTTATAAGAATGGTTGTAATCATAAATATTCTACATAGAATAAAGCACGAATGTCTTCTGATATATTTTTCGCACAATTATGTTAAGCCATTCACATTATATCAGCGTTACCCATAGAATGCCTCGTTTTCTTCATATCACGCCGTTCTTCTTATTACTTTGGGATATCTAATGTAGATATGAAACCCTATTATAGAAATTGCCGTAACTAAGTATTCAGAGACAGCGTGTTTTGAACGTCATCAACACAAAGTCAGCTCAATTCTGGAGGAAGGTTTGAACGAGAATAAATTGCACCACAAAGCAAGATTTGTTGCTGTCATTTTGATATACTGCTTCGAAACTGCGTACTTCTAAAGAGAGGAAAACATCGAATGTTAGGTACATGTATCCAACTAGGGATTTATTAAACCACATTCTTGGTCTTTTCGATGCAAAAAACTCATGATGAAACCGATACAGGTGAAAACATATTGTCATAAGGCTATAAAACACTACCCTGTTCTACAATGCAGCAGTGTCACCAACACCCGAAAAAAATGTAAAAACACAAAGATTCCAATATCCTCCGTCCACCACAACCTCAGTCAAGTCACGATTTCCCGCCTTTTTTCCAGGCCATGTGTCAACGGCCCCGAGCTTGGAGAACAACATGGATAAGCTGGGGGTCGAGGGCGCCTCAAGCAGGGGCGGTTCCTTTGTCTCTCGAACGCCTAGTCCTTCTCCCTCGAGTAGGTCTAGGTCGAGAGACAGGAAAAACTCAGCCAAACACGCAACCGGGCATCTCGCCGCCCACGCCTTCAACCTCATGGTCACCGTTCCCCAACACATGTAAGTAAAAGGCATATTTGGTATTATCATAGGATTTAGATTTCATTACAGAGAGGCTGTGCATGATGTGTTCATCAAGTAGGCATGGGCAAAGATATATAAAAGTGAAAAAGAAACAAAACAGAAAGGAATTAATGGGTGTTCAGAATTACTCGTTACATTTGTTATGCAAACAGGAAACTGTGTTTAAAAATCACCAGTAAAATACGTAACAAAGGGAAGGATTGGAGATGGGGAAACGGTAAGGAAAATGGAATAATGCGGTAAGATAAGCTAAATAGGGTTAATTCGAAATAAGTAGAAAGGCATTGTAGGAAATACAGAACTGTAAACTAAGATTTAAAGGAAAATACAAAGACAACATAGAAATGTGTACTGAAACCATTTTTTTTAAGAGATCTGACAATTTGGAAACTCCGCTTGGTTAATGTGATGGTTAATAATATTCCAAAGAATGTTGTTGAATGTTTGAATATATTCATTATAGATATTAGGACAAAAACAAACAAACAACGATGCAGATGCAATGCAATTCAACCATATATTATCGTTTACTCAAACCAAAGAGACAGTCGAAACAGCTTTTTATTAATATATTTTCATCATTGCCAGTTTATATATCAGCAAGGTAGTTTTTTTCTATAGCATTTGTAATAATTATGTCAGA